ATTTGTAGCATTCTGGATACGAGAAAGTTAGGCAAAAACCATTGGAACGTAATTAGGATGTTTGCAGTGAAATGAGAGAGCTTGCATGTCTGATCCATGTTCGCTGAGGAAGCTCATGATAATGTTATTAGCGATTATCTGGCTAGTTATGCATTCGCAATGTCAAACTGTATAAAGCATAAAAAACACAAAACTCTGAGTCATGAACATCATACAAACAGGCTGATTTAATGAAGCTAACCTTATAAGTTATAATACTACGGGAATTACCACAGATATGACTCTACTCTTTTTCGATGCTTACAAAGACTTTGAAAATATGTTTTCTTATTGTTATACCTGTCAATAGAATACATAACAATAACATATTTTCTAGCATGATTGCAGCCAGTTCACGTATGGAATTAATCACCAACGCGGATGTGCTCAGGTGCTGGTATCACTGGCATGCGAAAACGTTTAGCATTCATACGATATGGACAAGACTTCTAACCTACTTGGAGCAGTCAACTCAAGTCTTGTACACTAACAATAAAATCGTGAGAAAAATTGCTTCATTATTGCCAAGTTCTTATAAAAACTAAATAGGCACCGGTCTTATTTCTTTAAATTATTCTCGAATGATCGTGTTACTTGGGAAATTCTTTTAGATCTTAGGAGGCTATGAACATTTATTACATGTTCTAGTGTTCTTAATTCTGTTTCCCTTTTTTATGTAGTATTTGAAGTATTATAGACTGTATTAGGTATCAAATTGGGTGACGATTATGCGAATAATTGCGGTGAAACGTAGTTTGAATCAACACTAGGCAAATCAAAAGGAGGAAAATATACAATTGCACCGTACAATTTGCACGAACAAGACAAACAGCGTCATAAAGAAATCAATAAAGAAATCTTCGCACTGCAAGATGAGACGAACAAATATGGCGTACAACTGAAAGGTAGACCCATACGTTACATAAACAGTGTCATCTTGCAGCCATCATTACGGTAATGAGTCTGCGCAACCCGACACTATAGCTAACAGTGCAGAAACTTTACTAAGCCTACTCTGCAAATCTATTTCGTTATCTACCTCTCTCACTCACAATTTGATTCTACCATGAGCGAAAGAGGTGGTACTATCCATTCGACTTGCAAAGTCAACCCGAATACCCCGAAAATTATCTGCGTAATCACTTGTAGTTGGATCCGCAACATCCTCTACATTATTGTCAAGTTAGACGAGTAAAATTTTAGACGAAATCCTAATTTCAAGCTTACCGCTGCACGCTGGTACAACACCATCATTATCACACGAGAACTTAAACATTCGAAGCTGGTAGTACAATTAAGTTGTCAGAGTATAATGCTTCTTGTTACCTTATCTAGAATCTAGCCTAGACTTAACGCGCTTTAAATAAATCGATATTCCCGCCATGCAGCCATGAGAGCCCCGGCTAATTGCCCCTAGATGTCGGTTTCCATACAAACTGAGACAATGGCGGTGCCGCCCCCGATTCTTATGAACTTTCTCATATTGTTTGTTAATGACAAATAATGGTAGAGCTTTATAACGGCATCAGCTCTTTAATCTTGCGACATTTTTTGTACATTGTTATTATTATAATTGATATCACTATTTTGCCACGCACTTGTCATAGCGACGCGATTCTCAAGACAAATATTATTGATACAATTGATGTTCATAGTGTCCACATTTACAGTTATCTCAAAGGTCGTCGATTAATAACGTGTCTAATGTGTGAGATGTCAAGAAATTGTACCAAGTGCTGCACTGTGCTACATGTTTAGACATTTTCAATTAGATACGTCATGTACTGGGTCTGTCCAGTGCGTCTTATTGCTGTGGTATTAGGGATCATGGCAGTAGATCGGGATTGGTGGGATAAGTTTCTTGTGATCGCCGTGTCCACTTCTGTAGGATTGTGGATCTTAGTGGGCTGTAATAAAGAGTAAAGTAGTAGTTTAGGTCGGGACACAATATGCGCACGCGTTCCCACGATCGACGCGACATGTGCGGTGCAGCGCTGCATTGTGTGGATATGAAGCGTTTTTTGCGGAAACGCGCGTTTTGCACCCGTTAGGATTTGCTGTTATGGTTGAAATGTTAATGGGAAAGCAGAATACGCGGCAAAAGTATGTTTGTCAAAGCACGCAAGTTACATTTTCCCGTATTTATAAGTTAAGTGCGTCCGGGGCATGATCACAAGTGAGGTAAATTGAAAGATAAGTAAGTAGCTACCTAAATAAAAATTATGCATTCCCTTGAAAACTGGTTGTACGAATTATATGGCCATTGGTAAGTACTTGCACACTGCCGCAGTGTCACTGCGAAAAAGGGTTTTAATTGTCGTGGCACTATGTAGTGGTACCAAATTAGTAAATTAACGTCGTATTTTAAAAATATAATTATTATTTAAAAAAGAGAAATTGAAATGTAAGTTACTCAGTCGATGCTATTTATTAAAGTATGCGGTAGAACTCGCTGGTTGATTGCGCATAGTATCGGAACTGCGCCATTATGCAGTTTTAATGTCTTGCGCTTGCGCATGTTAGAAAATGTCAGTGCGTCGGAAACGCCTTTCAGAGTTTAAATGCAAAGCGTGCAGGAACAATAATGAAACAGTGATTATAAGGAAACTAGGTGCTAAATCAATAAATTTCTGCATGAATTTCCACATTTTAAGCATTAAGCTAGTCATTACCTAGGACGTTTTGTTTACCGATACATACCTCCACCGAGGGGAAAGCTTGATTATCTTTTTAAAATATCCTGAAAACTTCACCCACAGGCAATTTGAAATGCAAAACAATTCACAACAACAAGGGAATTTTCTAACTTCCTACTGAATAGAAACATTTAGGAAAATCGTTTGTTTTCATTGATTGTTTCCATATCATCTACTTGGTCATCTAGGTGTGTTGATTGCACTTCATGACATGTTTCGTCGTTAATATTAATAATTTAATTTACTGTATATTTACTCTGGACTTTCAGATTTTGAGGGAAAGGCCTACGCCAGCCGCCATGTCGTCTCGTCACGTGCGCGTCACTTCCTGCGCATCCCGCTTTCACGCTGCGCGGGCGCCGAGCGCTGTGATCATCTATTGTCTATTTGTAATGCAGACTATAAACTTTAATAAAGATAAACCGATATGGCGGTAGAAATCATCATTCGAAACATGGATTACTTGACGACAATGTGACGACCACCAGGCATATATAACAGTTAAACGCATAGTTATTGCGTGTTCGAATTCTGTATAGTGCAAAATTTGGTGTGGTGAGCACATTAATATCTGAAGGCACTATACATATTTTATAAAAAATATATACCTAGACATTAAATATGAAGCAAGGAGAGAAGGATAGCGTAATTTGACTGATAATCTGCTCAATATCAATGTTAAAGCCTTTCTTTAAACTTTAAAGTTTAAAGGTGTATCTTGTGAAAAACCAAACATCTTGTATAGTTTTACCTACTTACCTACTTAGTTCATCCTGAGTTTATAAACTTCTTGCCTTCATAAAAATATCGCGGAGAATTAATCATCTGCCGAAATAAGACAAAGGCTGCATAAACAATATATGGGCCATAAAATCTCTATAAAGTAGGACAAATGAAGCAATAACGCGACGCTTAAGTAGTTAACAAGGATTTAGGTAGCATGTGGTTCGCGTTAATTATAACAACGGGTTTCCGAGGTGACGAGTAATGGCATAAACATGTGAGCTTCACACGGTGTAGACGCCATAACCCATAGCTGTTACTCATAGACTTACAATAGCGATAAAATATAAATTATAACCATAATTTAAAAATACTCAATAGCTTCTAGTTAAGAGTTTTAGTGTACATATTTATTTAGCCTTGTCGATTGAGTGTCAGCTACTACGCCTATAAAATCAGAAAAACCCTGGTTGGTTTTTGTGAGACACAGCCGGATGAATGGTTTTGTGTTGGCCAGCGCATAACATTAATTACTTCAATTTATACCAATAATAGTAATAGAAGTTGACGGGAATGTCCCCTGAAACTATAGTTTTGAAACAGTCTCACGTCTCGGTCTCACTTTCCATTGCGCGCGCGCACAATGCACTTATCTGCTCCCAAACCATACCGCGACTCGAGACAATCGAGAAATCGCATATCTCAGTCGGCCATCAAATGTCATTACCGAGCTTAATTAATAAGCCACTGAGTGGGTACAATGTCGAAAATTCATTGTCGTCTAAACAATATTCCCATACAACAAAATTATATCGCCTCTTATTTTCGTCTCACGCGATATTACCCGCTAATTAACTTTAATAATCCCGGTAAATCATCTTTTAATGAAACAAAGGTCAATTAGAAAACCCAACAGTTTTGGTTCACTAATTGAAGACGGTGGCCTCACCAGAACGATAAGCGATATAAAGTCAAATATTTGTTACCAATTTGAATATTTAAATTCTTCGATAAGTACGTTATCAGAAGTTGAGTCCACAAACGCTTCCTGCCCCTTCGGCTACACTTGCGGTCGGTATTTTCTCATGGCATATCGTATTTGATGGGAAGCAGAGGCGATTCCGCCATTAACACCGGGCGCTCCACGAAAGTGAAATCGAAAATGACGCACGGTGGTCGAGGGCTATCAGATTTCTCATTACTATTACGGACATCAACATAGCATTGACGGTGACAGTATAATGATGAATCGCGGGAAACAATTCAACAGGTTTGGAGACCAGTAGCACTGAAGAAGATAAATCTATTGAGATTCAACTACAATATCCGATGACAGATCACAGAATTTGCATAAACTAAAGCTAATAAAGCGTACAACGTCGGTTCCTTTGGGGTATAGATAATCATGCTGAATATACAACGATTAATAAGAAAAACCCAAGAAACTAGTCTCGAGGAATAACTAAGTCTATCGCTCAGCTATAGCCCATCTGTAATGGAGATAGGTGCGAGTTTTCCTAGGAAGATGTGACGGAGACTCACCGTGCGATGCGAGAGGTCGGTGACGGAGTCGTGGCGGTGCTCAAGGCTGCCCAGGCTGCAGCAGGACGCGGACGAGGCGAGGCTCACGGAGTCGGCGCGCGCGCGGTGCGGGGACACCGCGACGTGCTTTAGCATTCCGACACCTGGGGAAGAAAAACGGCCGTTAAACAGCGTATTACACTTGAAAATTTCGACGGGCTCATCCAGTGTCTGAGTAGCTCAGATGGAAGCGCAGTCGCCCGGCAAGCGAAAGGTCGTGCGTTTCCCGCCTTAGGCAGTTTAATTTTATGTTGTTTATTTATAATGAAAGACTATTAAAGATCTTCCGGAAGCGCTGGACGCAGGCCGCTACAAATCGATCAACATGGAAAGCATTGGAGGATGCCTATGTTCAGCAGTGGACGTCCTATGGCTGAAATGATGATGATTAAAAATGTTATTTTTATCATAGAAGACCATTGCTATGAGTTAACAGTGATTTTCTTTCCATTAGTAATACGTTTCACCAGTGACCAGTGGCTATTCAAATGTGGTTGCAATTTTGCAAGATGCCAACAAAGTAACAATCCAGTATTTTCGAATAAGACGCAACACCAGATTGGCAACATTTTAATGTATCTGCGTTTCCTATTGGGGCAATGTCTGCGGATGTAAGTAAATCGTAAAAATTGATAAATACCATTTAAATCGATTTGTTGTTTTATATAAAACTAGGGTTATAATGTATCGATATCGTAAAGCTCCGTCACTGATGACCTTACAGATTTAATTTTACTTAATAACTTTTGGAATGAAGTATTTCCAAACAAATTAATATTAGTTTAAGATTGTTTTTTGCAGAGTGACTCTTATTGAGCTTTTTTAAATTGCACAACACAAGACGGTAATACAAGACAATACAATACTGCAACCTTCAAGAGTTATTTTACTCAGTTAAAATAAATACATCTCTGATAACACTTTGGCGTAAGTATAAGACACAACACCAAGTTTGAATAGAAGGGCATCTCTGTCACACAATATAATATATCTTTTAAAGTCTACATAGATTTATTTATACTAATTTATTACCTATTTGTGACGTAAGTACGAAAATAGATCTACATTGAATGTAGAGATACTCGTATTTTTATATGCCCAGAATTTTGTGAGATTTGTGTAATGGCACATGTGTCGAGTGGCGCCGGATATGATGCACTTCTGGGAACACCTACCTGCCTATTGTGCCCATTGTGGGACATGACCCGGGAAATCGGGATTCTAAGGCCTTGCGTATCTGTTCCGATGGGAACCAAAGCAGTTGCAGCGCGAAATTACGAACGAGATGTTTTATCTTAGACAGGTGATTGTTTTTATGAGGTTTGGTGGTTTTTATTGTAAAGTATGTAATTTTCTGAATGTTCCATCCAACGCCCTTTTTACTATAAATTAGTTGAGAAGAATTGAGGCTATATTATAGTTATTTATCAACGATTTTGTTACCGGGTGGTACATTTTTTTCTAATGCCACAGATTAGTAATAGCCACTGTTTTATAACATTTATTTTAAGGCGATAGGTNAAAATATAATCATTATATTTCGATCTGCGTAAATTAAAATGGAGTCAACATTCCCGTAGGCAGTTATGTTACAATTGGCAGCGCTTCGCATCTGTATTCTGAGCGCTCTTTGATATCGGGCAGAAGCGCGGGCGCGCGGCGGGAGGCTCTAATGCTCAAGGTCGTTCGGCCATGTAATCGCCTTAAGTTAAGAAAATAGTAGTTTTGCTCTAATTTACTAAGATTTTTGTGACTATATTACTTTGATACTGTGCTCGAGGTAATTTAACAGTCAATTTCCATTCTGCCACATCACCCCCACATAAAGAGCAACGAAATCATTTTAAATCCCTCGATATGCAACCGATGGCATCTCGTGACAATGGGCCTAGAAAGCCGCCGCGACGTGAACGAACAAACCACGGACGTCCGGGAAATATAGCCAATTACTAGCAAATACTCGTTTTTCACTACACTCATTTGCTGTTCAACATGATGATATTTTCCAGATAATTGCTTCGCTAGCGCTGCCTTGAGGAGGCATTTGAACAAGGTTTTTAAACATTCCATAACTATTAGCCCGTATGAACGGCGAAACGTTTGAAATAGCTTGGTAAATAATAAATATTTATCTACGAAGGCTTTAAGAAATAATTGGATAACTTAGAATATTAGCAGCAATGATAGAATCTGATAAGAAAAATGATCCCAAGTTCAAAGATTTTTTTAAAGTGTTCAGTAAATCTTTGGTCCTCTATGTTGCAACTGTTTAGTATCATGAGTAGTCAACCCCAATAATAAACGTAGTTGCTAATCCTACCTACCTATCCATTCATCATCCAAAAAACCTTGCCAAAAAACCTTAAAAAAAGGAATTATCTACAAGTACTCCACGACTCTAACAAAAGAAGTAACAATAGAATGTGTGCATCAATTGATCAATTCGTCAACTAGTCGGCGGCCGCGGCGGCTAACGGCCTCATTCGCAAACAAATAATTACAAAGATGTAAAGGTCGAGGAAGTCGTTAGTGGTGTACGAGTGTCGATGAATACTTCAAGAAGAGCTACGATAGACCGATAGACCCTAGGCTCAGATTTCTAAATTCACTCACTTTCAGAGCTATCAATTACATACTCGAAAAAGAACGAGCTTGAGTGTAAGGGCTATATTTCACCGGGGCCCCATGGCGGCGTAACCAGTCGCCGCTACCAACAAAATGTATACAGCTTTGTGTAACCAAACGTAGAGTAACTCTCTATAGAGCTGTATATGTTTTGTTGGTAGCGGGCGACTGGTTGCGCCGCCATGGTGTCCCGGTGAAATATAGCCCTAAGAAATGGAATTGTATTATGATGAGCCATATTAGAGTAATCAACCAGTTAAACATTTGTTTCCTTTGGGGTCTTATAGTAAAGAATTTATTGGTGTAACCACCAATTTAGATAAATAGTGGTCTGTTTAATTTTTACGTCAGTATAACAAAACAATAAGAAATGATGTGAACTATACAGGGTGTTAGGTAAATGGGTATATGAGCCGACACTAGCCCATGTTAACATGGGCATATAAATGGTATGGTGAAGTCAGAAAATTGATATCTTAATTTTAGTTATTTTAATTTTCATACAAATCGGATTTTATAAAATTTATTTTGTATGAAAATTAAAAAAAATAAAATGACGATATCAAATTTCTGACTTCACCATACCTTTTATATGACCATATTAACATGGGCTAGTGTCGGCTCATATACCCATTTAACTAACACCCTGTAGAGAGATCTATCGACATGTGCCTGGCTACACGCGGCGCGGCGCAAGGCGTGGCCAACTCCCGCGCATCCGCTGCATCTGCGGACCATTACCGCTTTTTTGTGCGCGCTACATTGTTCTAAGCTTCTTGCTTGGCCCGACGACCGAATTGAGGCTACTAAACCTTTATGTCAACTGTGATTATCTTTTTGTGTTATGGCACTTTTGAAATTAACACACGGGCGAAAAGAAAGTGGCTAATGTCGCCATAATGACAAAATCAGTTGCGTGTAAAATACACGTAAGATAGGAGGAAGGAATTCATCTTGAAAATGTTGGTCTTCCATTAAAAATGTCTGCGTCTTTTGCTAATTTAAAGCAGTTTGTAGCTCTACTATTGCAATTAGGTATCATTTAAAATCAAAAGTGAATGGTAATATTTTCATAAAACTGCCTAATTAATTACATCAAGGTACGAGTTGGTACTTTAGAAGGTTACTTACCCTTTCATGTTAAGATAGGGCGTATCTGTAACACGTCAGGTAAACCGTAAAGTACAGTCAGCATTACATTATAAGTCCAAGCTGAAGCTTTAGTTTTAGTACTGGCAGTAATTAACTACAGTCCTGAATTAATATTTGTATACCTAGAGGAAATCGAGACCAACTTAGTGTTGATCTATAGAAAAATACGTAATGCTGAATATTTACTCGGTAATTGCAACAAAATACACATTGTGATATCAGATTTGTAGAGCGCGCGTTATCTTTATTTCTTTTCAATTGATATCTATGTATTAAGATTTAATTTCAATATTATTTTACTTAAATAAGAGCACATATTATGTACATATCAGTGGTAGGTAATATATGGACAAGTTATGCTTCTAGCTTGTTTTGCCGATCGTATCTCGTGGCCAGCAAATGACTTTAATTGTGCGTACGCAAATTACAGAAAATCACGGCTATAATTCCCGTAATTATTACAGCCTTAATTAGCCATAATCAATCAGCATTGCTACTGCCCATCCGATCTAACATTATACATATTAAAATAGACAGCGTAGTGTATTTCACATCGGTAGTGATATAAATGTATTTTATGAAAATAATTTATGCAAATAGGTTTCTAAAATGCGCTTTCCGTATTTGAATCTATTAGTACTTCAACCCTGCCACTGCTTCGGAACAAATGAAGTCAGTGCTGAAAAAAATCAGTGCAAGAAACTCAGTTACCATTCTCAGCCGTTCTAAAATAAAGAGCTCTACAATGATGCTGATGAAATAAATATTGTCGTTATACCGTTACAATTACAAGATGACAGTTTGGTCACAGTTGGACATGTAGCCAGCAGTTTTATGGCGTCATTTATGGCAGACCTCACAAGACGCCACAAAGCAAACTTGCCATGCGTGAATTTTCTAAATCTTTTGTAAACTTAGGTATGGTAAAAAATTTAAATACTCATAGTTAAAAAATAACCGTGAAAGCCGTTTTACAAAATCAGAAGAAAACTCTTATTGGATACCTAGTATGTAGAATCAAATAGTAAAAATAAAATGGTAAAAAGACAAATGGTCCAAAATAATGTAAAAGTAAAGATTAAATACCGGAAGACGTAGCGTGGCAGGCCCCTACTGGGTGGACCGACGATCTGGTGAGGGTCGCTGGAAGAACCTGGATGCGGCCAGCGCATGGCTAGTAGTCGTTATGGAAATCCTTAGGGATGCCTTTGTCCAGCGGTGGACGTCATTTAGCTAAAACGATGATTAAGTCCACGTTAGACTTAGGTACTGATGGTAAGTAAGGAGTCTTCAACGTTGGCGCCTAAATTAATGATTTTCTCAACCG